GGGGGAGAGGGTGTCAACTTCAATTTTTTAATACGCGAAAGTAATTACAGAAAAGTAATACTCTTCAATTAGATTTTTTAAAAATTGTATTTTGTAATCGTTCTTTGCTCATTCACAAAGTTAATTTGCTTGTCAAATTGATTGATTTAAAGCTAACAGATACAATGAAGAAGAAAAGAAAAATGACTTTTAAAAAGAAAAAGAAAATAAATGAAAAACAAAGCAAGAAATAATTTATCAAACAAAAAACCCCCCACGAAACAAGGCACACATTGTTATTTGTTCCTTTTTATAGAGAAAAGAGAAAAGGAGGTATAAAACGAACAAACATGAGAAGAACAACGAAATAAAGAGGCATAGATCTAATATAAACGAACTCACGAAATGCAGTGAAAGAAAGTAAAAAACAAACAAACAACAGAAAAACAAGCAAACAAACAAATCAAACAATCAAACAAACAAACAAACAAATCAAACAATCAAACAAACAAACAAACAAACAAATCAAACAATCAAACAAACAAACAAACAAACAAATCAGACGGACAAACAAACAAACAAATCAAACAATCAAACAATCAAACAACAAACAAACAAACCAAACAACCAACCAAACAAACAAACAAACAAATCAGACGAACAAACAAACAAACAGTCAAACAAACAAAGAAAAACAAACAATAAAAAGCACAAAAACAAGCACACCAAAAACCCAAACAAACACACCAACGTACTCACCGGCAATGGGCGGCGCCACAAAGTAGCCCAGCCCGGCACAGACCATCTCAATACCGAAGGCCATGGCGAGATCCCTGATCCCCACACACCGGATTGTGATGGATGTGAGTACACTGTACACGGACCCATAGTACGTAGCCACACACAGGATGACCAGTGTCACCGACAGGTAACCGGTACCAACCACAGGAAGCAGCATCACGGCCAGCCCGCCTGCAGGCAGAGGGGAGAGGTGGGCAAAATCCGGATAATCATAAAGGATAACCGGATAATTCTCAATGAAACATTATCCGAACCGGATAATTCTCAATGAAACATTATCCGAATTCAGACTCTTTCCTGACCCGTTTGCCAAAAGTGGGTGCACACATTTGTTAAAGTAGTACTAACCTGTTTGCCGAAACGGTTCACATCATATTATTATTTGCATGGGGTGATATTATGAGCGCCAGAAGATTAGAGGTGTTACGAGAGTGTAACAAACATAAAAAAGAAGAAGGGGAGATAAGGACGAGAGATGTTTGATAGGAAAGAAGAAGCAATCACACCAGAGCACCCGCCAACCACCCACTTTTGTTTGTTTGTTTTATTATTCGCGGAGCAGAATTGCACAATAATAATAATAAAATAA